TAAATGTACATGTACTCCAGATATATTTGTCTGTGAGTATCTCACATTATCCTCTTTGCCATTGACCTAACAATAGGTTTTGACCAAACTTTGTCAATAGCTTTAAGTTCAGATTAGCGTGATTATTAGCCAGAGGCCCAGATAGAAAACTGAGTGCGAAAACTGAGTGTTTAGACTAACATGGTTATTATCCAGTGTCCAGACTTATTATCCAGTGTCCAGACTTATTATCCAGTGTCCAGACTAACATGGTTTTTATCCAGTGTCAAGACTAACATGGTTATTATCCAGTGTCCAGACTAACATGGTTATTATCCAGTGTGTAGACTAACATGGTTATTATCCAGTGTCAAGACTAACATGGTTACTACATGGTGTCCAGGCTTTAAACGTGATTATTATCCAGTGTTTAGACTAACACGGTTATTATCCAGTGTCCAGACTAACATGGTTATTATCCAGTGTCCAGACTAACATGGTTATTATCCAGTGTGTAGACTTACATGGCTATTATCCAGTGTGTAGACTTACATGGTTATTATCCAGTGTGTAGACTTACATGGTTATTATCCAGTGTGTAGACTTACATGGCTATTATCCAGTGTGTAGACTTACATGGCTATTATCCAGTGTGTAGACTTACATGGTTATTATCCAGTGTGTAGACTTACATGGTTATTATCCAGTGTGTAGACTTACATGGCTATTATCCAGTGTGTAGACTTACATGGCTATTATCCAGTGTGTAGACTTACATGGTTATTATCCAGTGTGTAGACTTACATGGTTATTATCCAGTGTGTAGACTTACATGGTTATTATCCAGTGTGTAGACTTACATGGCTATTATCCAGTGTGTAGACTTACATGGCTATTATCCAGTGTGTAGACTTACATGGCTATTATCCAGTGTGTAGACTTACATGGTTATTATCCAGTGTGTAGACTTACATGGCTATTATCCAGTGTGTAGACTTACATGGCTATTATCCAGTGTCCTATTTCACTGCCAGTCAGTCACTTGGTTGTATCTAGACCAAACTCACTATCCTTATTCCACCCTGCTTACTGCCTTTCATGATTCACATTGGCAAATTGTTTGCAGAAATATAGCATCTACAATACATAATGGCCATACAAAATATACAGATAGCAAACGTGTAGTTAAGATAAGTCATTTACGAAGTATAACTTCAATATTGTATTACAGGTTTTAATGTGGTCACTGTATAATTACAACAGGAGTGTTGAGTTTTGATACCCAGGAAGGATTTTGGTTGGTGCACAGTACCCCACATTTCCCGCCCAACCGTACTATGGGATGGGCGTGGCCTGACAGTGCCATGGATTATGGACAGGCCTTCCTGTGTGTCTCCTACCCCATTGCCATGATGGAAAAAATAGGTATGTACACAATACAACATTACTATCTTGGAAATCTAAGAGTTCCGATTAAAGGAATAAGGAGGCAGCGTAATGGTAAAAATGAATAGTTATTTAGTTGGATGTGTCTCCTCTGTAATCTTAAAGGACAAGGAACGGTGAAGTAATTGGTGGAGATTTATACCTGAAACCAGTCAGTAGCTTATGTGTAACAAGACAAATACAGATACAACTGCATGATGAGTCAATGTGAATGTCTTTGTAATTAACAGGTTCTATGTCAATGTGAATGTCTTTGTAATTAACAGATTCTATGTCAATGTGAATGTCTTTGTTATTAACAGGTTCTATGTCAATGTGAATGTCTTTGTAATTAACAGGTTCTGTGTCAATGTGAAAGTCTTCGTAATTAACAGGTTCTATGTCAATGTGAATGTCTTTGTAATTAACAGGTTCTATGTCAATGTGAATGTCTTCGTAATTAACAGGTTCTATGTCAATGTGAATGTCTTTGTAATTAACAGGTTCTATGTCAATGTGAATGTCTTCGTAATTAACAGGTTCTATGTCAATGTGAATGTCTTTGTAATTAACAGGTTCTATGTCAATGTGAATGTCTTCGTAATTAACAGGTTCTATGTCAATGTGAATGTCTTTGTAATTAACAGGTTCTATGTCAATGTGAATGTCTTCGTAATTAACAGGTTCTATGTCAATGTGAATGTCTTTGTAATTAACAGGTTCTATGTCAATGTGAATGTCTTCGTAATTAACAGGTTCTATGTCAATGTGAATGTCTTTGTAATTAACAGGTTCTATGTCAATGTGAAAGTCTTTGTAGTTAACAGGTTCTATGTCAATGTAAATGTCTTCATAATTAACAGGTTCTATGTCAATGTGAAAGTCTTTGTAATTAACACAGTCCTATCTAGGTAGCAAGGTGAAGACATGTATTACTGTTATTGCATATCTATACTTTATAGTTGGTTATTTCAGTTCTTTTTCTTTTGTAATTTTTACTCAAAAGGATAAAATTATATTTACCTGTACATGAATCAGAGATGATACAGTATCTAATTTTCATATATACCTGTATGCTCCACCAGTTAGCAGAAATATCATCCCTACAAAAAGAACCGACTGTATGGTGTTTTGTTCTTTATAAATACACTGTACATAGATGCATCAACAATGACCGTGTTTATGTTCCGTTACAGGTGAACAGTTTCTGTATACCTATCCCAAGATCTACGACAAAAACTTCCCCGCCAGTTTTGCCGCAAAGAGCCCTGTAATGAACCAGATTCTAGGTGATAAGCAGTCACATGTCAAACAGTTGCCATGGTATCACAAGACAACACTGGTATCGAAGGCTGGACATAATTTTGTTAGCTATGCCAAGTTTGGGAAATTCATGGCTGGTAAGTCTGGCGGTTCAGAGTAACAGCACATGTACACATCAGCAATCCAGCGCTATGGTTTACATACACTGAGGTTGTCTCTGAACTGTGGAATGCAGTATATAAAGTTTGATAGAGATGAAATCAACCACGCACAGTGGTTAGGACACTTGACCTAATTAAACGTCATGGTGACTGTACCCTGTACATGTCTCTGCCTGGTGCTGGCAGTCTGCTTCAGGAACCAGGATGTGTGTTGATGACACAAGGCTAGTCTGATGTTCCTTAAATGTGAAATAAGGTCAATTATTGTAAATGATCACAATTTTATTGATTTTACAAATCATTCAATTTCATTCAAATTAATTGATCAATATTTCTTAAAAAAAAAAAATGATCAATTTAATGAATTTAATTCATTCCTGTCAATATGAGAAGTTATCATAGTTTTACTACAAGTAGTTCATCGTTTGTTAGTATATATCAATCATTTTTATGATCATTATTTGATGACTAAAAATCTGATTATGTACAATTTACTTGCAGATCTGTATGATAACTTGGTGGCCATTGATCTGCAAAGTGACATGATGGTTGAGACCTGGCAGAAAGGAGGAGTCAAAGAAAACCTTCCTACCAACTGTTCCATTCAGTACAAGGTATACAAACATTACAACTGTTCCATTAAGTACAAGGTATACAAACATTACAACTGTTCCATTAAGTACACGGTATACAAACATGACAACTGTTCCATTAAGTACAAGGTATACAAACATTGCAACTGTTCCATTAAGTACAATGCATTACAACTGTTCCATTAAGTACAAGGTATACAAACATGACAACTGTTCAATTAAGTACAAGGTATACGAACATGACAACTGTTCCATTAAGTACAAGGTATACAAACATTACAAATGTTCCATTAAGTACAAGGTATACAAACATGACAACTGTTCCATTAAGTACAAGGTATACAAACATTACAAATGTTCCATTAAGTACAAGGTATACAAACATTACAACTGTTCCATTAAGTACAAGGTATACAAACATTACAAATGTTCCATTAAGTACAAGGTATACAAACATTACAACTGTTCCATTAAGTACAAGGTATACAAACATTACAAATGTTCCATTAAGTACAAGGTATACAAACATTACAACTGTTCCATTAAGTACAAGGTATACACACATTACAACTGTTCCATTATGTACAAGGTATACAAACATCACAACTGTTCCATTAAGTACAAGGTATACAAACATTACAACTGTTCCATTAAGTACACGGTATACAAACATGACAACTGTTCCATTAAGTACACTGTATACAAACATTACATATATATACCAAGTACAGGATATACTTTCACAGTACACCTACACCCAATATATGGTATACATTATATATCTATACCAAGTACAGGATATACTTTCACAGTACACCTACACCCAATATATGGTATACATTATATATCTATACCAAGTACAGGATATACTTTCACAGTACACCTACACCCAATATATGGTATACATTATATATCTATACCAAGTACAGGATATACTTTCACAGTACACCTACACCCAATATATGGTATACATTATATATCTATACCAAGTACAGAATATACTTTCACAGTACACCTACACCCAATATATGGTATACATTATATATCTATACCAAGTACAGGATATACTTTCACAGTACATCTACACCCAGTATATGGTATATTTATTTCATACACCTACACCCAGAAAAAGGTATAGCTATATATCTGTACCAAATATAATATTGGGGAAGGAAGTAATTCTTACAGTGTAGACAATATGATGTCAAATTTTCGGAGCAGTCCCTACCTTTATCGAGACACAGAAAAAAAAAAACAATTACATTTTATATAAAAACAAGGTGTACTTATATCATACACCCAGTACAAGGTATACTTATACACCTACACCCAGTACAAGGTAAAGTTATACACCTATGGTATACGTATATCCTACACCCAGTATATGGTATACGTATATCCTACACCCAGTATATGGTATAGGTATATCCTACACCCAGTATATGGTATACGTATATCCTACACCCAGTATATGGTATATGTATGTCCTACACCCAGTATATGGTATACGTATATCCTACACCCAGTATATGGTATAGGTATATCCTACACCCAGTATATGGTATACGTATATCCCACACCCAGTATATGGTATACGTATATCCCACACCCAGTATATGGTATACGTATATCCCACACCCAGTATATGGTATACGTATATCCCACACCCAGTATATGGTATACGTATATCCCACACCCAGTATATGGTATACGTATATCCCACACCCAGTATATGGTATACGTATATCCCACACCCAGTATATGGTATACGTATATCCCACACCCAGTATATGGTATACGTATATCCCACACCCAGTATATGGTATACGTATATCCCACACCCAGTATATGGTATACGTATATCCCACACCCAGTATATGGTATACGTATATCCCACACCCAGTATATGGTATACGTATATCCCACACCCAGTATATGGTATACGTATATCCCACACCCAGTATATGGTATACGTATATCCTACACCCAGTACAAGGTAAAGTTATACACCTATGGTATACGTATATCCTACACCCAGTATATGGTATAGGTATATCCTACACCCAGTATATGGTATACGTATATCCCACACCCAGTATATGGTATACATATATCCCACACCCAGTATATGGTATACATATATCCTACACCCAGTACATGGTATACATATATCCTACACCTAGTATATGGTATACGTATATCATACACCCAGTTCAAGGTATACTTATATCATACACCCAGTACAAGGTAAACTTATACACCTAAACCCAGTACAAGGTATACTTATACACCTACACCAGTACAAGGTAAACTTATACACCTACACCAGTACAAGGTAATGTTATTCACCTACACCCAGTACAAGGTAAACTTATACACCTACACCAGTACAAGGTAAACTTATACACCTACACCCAGTACAAGGTAAATGTATACACCTACACCCAGTACAAGGTAAATGTTATACACCTACACCAGTACAAGGTAAATGTTATACACCTACACCCAGTACAAGGTAAATGTATACACCTACACCCAGTACAAGGTAAAGTTATACACCTACACCCAGTACAAAGTACATTTAAACACATGCACCAAGTACAAGGTAAAT